CAAAAGACGCTCAAACTCCATTTTTTATTCTGGTTCCATTATTATTTTTAACGTCCAATTGATTGATTGATTTTTTTGTACCTTGTCTCAGGAAGGACAGAGCTGGAGAACGTTGAGATTCACCGTCTCCAACCTCAGCAGCCTGTGTTCCCTCCCCTTTCGCTCAGTCAATCCGCCCAGGCAGGGGCACGTTCAACCGTCCAAAGCTTCCACCCGTCAATCCAAACTGACCAACGCCTGAACCTTGGTGGCGCACGACTCAAAACAACAGCATACACCCGCAACTTTTCCGGAGGGGTCCCCTATCCAAACAGAGGAGGGGTCGGAGAGATTTATCTCGACCCATCCAGGATAATGAGCGAAGCCGTCAGCCAGGTTGAGGGACATGAGTCGGAGTACTCCTCCTTCACAAACCCGATTTTCAGTTCCACAGACATGGGCCCGAACCTACCAAGGTAAAAAAATATTATTTGAAAATTGAACAATACAAACAAATGGAAAATGAGTTATTATTTTAAACGTTTAAAAACTGTTCTTAAAATAACCTAATTTTCTTTTATTCTTTTTCAGTGCCACAGAGTTTGAGAGCAGCGACTGGCCAACCCCGCCCAACCAGTAACCACCAGACCGAGCTGTACACGATTTTATTATACTACAAACTTTTTTCTTTCAATTTTACATTACGGTTTACAACTGTACGGTGTTTTATACCCATGTCCCATACCGTACAATAAAAATTAGTTTAAGCATGGATTCGGTTTTTTTCAGAAATTGATAGAAAAAAATAACATGAACCTTTGGTCTGTTTTGGCGCTGGGGTATTGGATCTCCCTAATTTCCAGCAGTTTCCAAAGTAAGCTCACCCACATCTAAAAAGTAGAGAGAAACTTTAGATTTGAATTCATATTTTTTCGATGGTTCTCTGCACTACACCTTTGAGGGGTTATTTATTGATTTTCGCTTTAAGGACGGAGCCTGGTGTCACAATATTGCTTGAGAAGAGGAAAAACTAGAAATGTCATGCTAGAAGTCACCTTGGGTGTGCTAGAAGCCACATTATCCACACAAATGGTGATCTATTATCTGTTCCTGATGCCCGAGGGCAAGGGCAATCAGTACTCCTTCAACATACTGTGCGCCCTCTCAAACTGGATCTAAACCCCTGCTGGACTCGTACCATTGCCTTAAATTATAGTTTTATTGTAAAAAAGTGTATTTTTACACGGTTTTAATAAATATGTTATGTATATTACAAACTTTCTTTTCTTTTTTTGTTGTGGGTGTAGACAAGAAGCGTGTTTTGATCTATCGTACTTTAACACGTTTTTTTCTTTTCAAAACCATATTTACAGGGTGTCCCACGAAACATGACAATAGGAAAACGACTTGAAACTCGTCTTTGATATTTAAATTTATTTGTGACGTTTAGTCTTCTATCTACTTTAACATGTATGATTCTTGAAACAATTATCACATAATTCTCCTAGCCCTGGCATTTCCAAAAAGTGGTCTGCGTTTTTTGTGCTTTCAATATTACCGGAGATATAAAGAGTTTGGTTCAGATTTCAATTTTGTTAAATAAAAGCAAAATTGTCGAAATCTGAACGAAATTCTTCATATCTCGGGCAATATTGAAAGCACAAAAAAGGCAGACCACATTTTGGAAATGGCAGGACANTATTTTTTATTTAGGATTGTATTTTTATTTTGGTCTGAACTCGGCTCACTACTTGAATATAATCTGTAAACCTTTGGCGGATTGGAAGAAAACGATCCGGGGTTGTTATTTTTCGAGACATGTTCCCAAACCCCGAGCAGAGTTGGATTCGTTGGCACACGGATTTATACCTTAAAAACGATAAAAATATTTTAAGTTCGTCTAGTCGAGATACAACAAATTAAATTTAACATTTTTTCAGAACGGAGAAATTTAATATGAAAGAAGACAAGACGAGATAAAATTCGGGTAATAAAAAAATTCGATTTTTAGAAAACCACACTTCCCCCGGGTTATTCAGTGTATCCGCTAACTAAAAAATATGAAAACATGATTAGAAATCGACCTCTATGTCAAAATTTAGCTTGTCAGACTGTATGTTTGTATCCAATATACGTGGCAACGGCTGAACCGATCAGGCTCAAATTTTTTGTGGGACATCACGTGACCACAGGGAAGGTTAGAGAATGATAATTTTGTTAAAAAAATTATGTTTTTTTATTTTTTGTAAAAAAATTAAAATTCACGAAAATCCGCTTATTTTTTCTATTTAATGATCAAAAATAATTATCTTTTCAGACACCATGGGTTTCTGCGTATACAAAAAAATTTAAACAGATAGAATCAATTAACCAATTTTAATTTTGATGCAGATCCTGGATCCAGAGAAGAAATAGATCCAGGCCCATGGATCCTGTAGCGACCGAGCGAAATAGGCCTGAAAGGAAAAGGAAAGGGGAATGGGAAAAGGGGGAAGAGAAAAGGAAAAAAGGGGAAAGGAAGAGAAAAAAGGAAGTGGGAATGAAAAAAAGCTGGAAAAAGAGGAAAATAAGCAAAACCCTTTTTAGGTTTTTGTCCCCCTTAATAGCATTATCATGTTCCCCCCCCCCCCCCC